AAGAACCAATAAAAAAAGAAAAAAAAAAACTTGCATCAGAATGGAAAAACAATTAACTGAATTTTTAATGAGTGTTTTTATTCACAATTAGATATTTATGGTGGCCTGGGAGACAGAAATGGTAATGTTTTCCAATTTTGAGGAACTTCAGGTAAAGGAATCTTTGAATAATGCACTTTTAAAAGCATTCTGCACTTAGCAAATCTCATGCTTTCTTACCCTTTACGAGTTCTTTTCTGCAGAACTGTCCAGAAATAACAGATGAAATTTTAAAGGACAAAGTTTCAGCCTGTCTAGTTCCTGAAAGATGTGGAAGGGATATTGTTCTACTCCCATTCCTGATATCCCAAATCCTGGCCTCAGGATCTGCTGATCTTTCAGGAGCTAGCAGAGGCCAGATGCATGGAAACGTGTGCATTCCTAGTGCCTCCAGCTGTTTCTTTAAATGTACAGTCTTCAGTTGCTTCCTGAAAGCTTTCCCAAGTGAAAGGGATTGGCTTTTTTTGGGGAACTGGTTAGCATTAACTCACTGTGCAATTTCCTGTCACTTGAGAGACAATGAATAAGCGGAGGGAAGTCGGTGGCCCTGCTCGATTATGAATTGCAATAAAATTGGAATTTTTTCAGATGTAAATATGTGGAAAAGTCTTCAATGTGATTTAGCATAACTATCTCACCACCTAGTCTCTTAATAAAGGCCTTTATCCTAGCCTAAAAGAAGAGGTTTGGACCTCTGTGCTTTGCTCAACTATTACAAAGCTGCTATAACTGGAGCTTTTTTAAATCTGTGTAAGATTATTTTTATGCAAGAATTTGAGGGACAGAAAATGAAACTCTATGAAATGAAACTGAAGGAGAGATTGTCCATCCTGACTTTCACCAACAAAATGTTTCAGTCAGTGTGAGTGACCAAGTGCATTTGGTTACAGCCATCCAAAGTGTTGCCAGAAGCCTGAGTAATGGAGAAAATGAAAGGCTGGGGTTGTATCAGTAGACATCTGTATATATATATATTTTCTTCCTTCAGACCAAGTCCGAAACAGCTACTACATTGGTGCCGATGGCTCGCTCAGACTGATGCTCGCTAATGGCATGGAGGTGGCCCTGCAAACCGAGCCACATCTGCTGGCGGGCACGGTTAACCCCACCGTGGGGAAGAGGAACGTGACGCTGCCCATCGACAACGGCCTCAACCTGGTGGAGTGGAGACAGAGGAAGGAGCAAGCGAGGGGGCAGGTCACTGTCTTCGGACGTCGGCTGAGGGTAAGCGAGAAGCGTGAGCACGTTGGGACCCGATCTCCTGTTTTATCAGTCCCCCATCTCATGACAGAAAGGGACGGAGCTCATTTCTGACACCTGGAATAGAGAGGAGGCTGCAGCACAGAGCATTGCCTGTTCATTCTCATTGACACAACCCTTATGACTCAAAGATATCCTTGGATCTCCTTCTGTGCTGGTGCTCTCAGCCATCACAAATGGTGTTGATGATTCTCTTGTGAGTCCTCCGTGTGCTTGTCAACACACAACCTCCCACTAGGCCCTACAGGTTTAGCCACCGTGTCAGGCTGTTTAAGCATGGAAGGGAAGAACATAATGATGAAGCAAATGCTCCATTGCAAGTAGGCATTTTGTACCTGCTCTGCTGGCAATAATACACACCTGAGCACAGAAAGTTAGTGTTTACTGAGCAGATTCAGAGAAAAAAAAACTGAGTTCCTTAAACTTGCTCATCTGGAGGAACCTGGCATTTCAGGGCATTGCCCTGTGCTTGTAGTTGTTCCCCAAGGTGAAGTGTTAAAAGTAGCTACACCCTGGTGGTACCCTCTCCTCCAGGGACATGTGCTCCTTTCTGGTCTCCGTGTGTTCTGAAAACCTTGTTCCACACAGTGCACTGCAGGCTTGTCAGGGCTGCTTAAAGCTCCTGCTCACTAAGCCTGTAATTCTGCTGCTCACAGCTGGCAAGGCTGGTGACGTGCGATAGCAGTCAGTGCTGCACAGTCACGCTGCACCTTGCCACTCACAGCATTGCAGGCTTGGGAGCAGCTTCTAGGAACCTTCCTAGCACCTGGCAAGTTTGCACCCTTGGAGAAAAACACTTAATACTGTGTAATGCCACCATAGTGTAATGGCTGCAGCTACTTATTCCCACTTAAGCTGTAAATGTTACCGCACAGTTTCAGAATATGTATTTTCCCAGCCCTTGATGTGAATTTTCCCCGTCTGTCTTTACTCACGCTTACCAAATATTGCTTTTCACCCTCCCCCAGCCATCAGCTGCTGCTGCCCCCTTGCATAGATGGCCTCACACACTTGCTCTTTATAATTATTATTATTTTTAATCAGGAGCAAACCTGTGTAAGCAGTAGTGAAGTTGGAGGCTGCTCCTTCAGTGATAACTGCTATATGCTTGCAGATCGACTGGCATCAACTTTCTTGCTTAATTTTTGGATTTTTCTTTCTATTTTAATAACCAATGAAATTACCAGACAAGTCTGTCTCTGAAAAGCTTCTGAAATCTGCAGCTGTCTCACAGCTATTTGGTGTTCAAAGCAGTTTCCACTCTTTTAGCTGCAGCTCAGCTTCCCAAGCTGGTTTTATCTTCCAAAATCTTCGGAACAGATTCTCTCAAACACAGAATGTGCCTTTGTTTTATATTGTGCTGCATTCAGAAAAGCATTTGCAAAATGATTTTTCCGGCTGGTTACTGGTTTTCCTGTAAATGTGCTGGCATGTGTTCACATTTTGAGTCTATCCGGGCCCGTCCCTGCTTCTAGTGAGGTAGAGGAGTATCTTACGTTGTTGAAGGGCTCAGTTATGGCCCCATTCTGGGGTTCAGAGTGGCTGAATGTGTACAAGAAGTTTTAGGCTGCCTTTCTGTACCTGTGTAGCAGCATCTGCACCCCACAGATGTAAATCTGCAAGGTGCTAATTGCCTCCCTGGAGATTGCCCTGTATTTAACATATTCTCCATGTGTTATCATCTCATGTACCCTCGTAACAGTAATTATCACTTTCCCTAACAAGGAGAAAGCTTAGGGACATTCAGCTGAGCATGATTTTGTTCATTTTGGAAAACTTTGTTATTTTCTGCCATATGTGAGTGTATCGACAGGTTCCCTCTCGCCTTACCCCACTGTCAGTTTGAGACAGCAGCAGAGCCGTGGTAGGGTTTGCTCATCAGCATATATTTATTTATGGCAGGGCTAAGGCATGAGGAGGGGATTTCTGCATGGACAGAAGGAAAGGAGCAACTGTAGCAAGAAACCAATGAATATGTTAAAACAGCCCTTTTCCCTTCTCCTGTCCTGCCCTGGGAAAAGTTGTGATGCTCTGATCCACCCAGCAGAGACATCTGTGTATTGGCAGCTCATCATGGCCAAGCACCACACGCAGGCTCCGACCACATTGGAAGCATTAGGCAAACTCTACTCCAAAGAGCAACACTCCTTTTTTCTCTTTTCTTTTCCTTTCTTTTCCTTTTCCTTTTCCTTTCCTTTCCTTTCCTTTCCTTTCCTTTTCCTTTTCCTTTCAAAAATTAGCTTGGTGCATACTGCTTCTAATTGACATTTTGCTATCTCTATACAAATGACAAGCCATTAAGTTTAATTGAATGGTGCCTAGATTCATATTGTAAAGAAATCTGAATCACAGCCATCAAAAGCACATGCATGTCTACTTTTGCCCTTTTGCCCCTTGCCAAGCAGAATATAGACAATATACAGAGCAGAAATATTCAGTGAAAAATCTTTAAGTCTTTACAAAGAAACTTTTCCAGAGATAGCTGCATTAAGAAAATAAAAGGAAAAAAAAAGTGCAAGGTGGGTATAATTTCAGTTTGTATTTATTCCCTGTGATTTAAAGTTGTGGTGTATTTCTATTTTCCATTCATTTTGTTAGAGAAAATAAAGGACAGAAGGGACCCTAGCAAATGTAACTTTTTTTGCATGGAGTATCCCAGAGTAATTTTCTTTTTCTCTTTTTCTTTTCTTTTCTTTTCTTTTCTTTTCTTTTCTTTTCTTTTCTTTTCTTTTCTTTTCTTTTCCTTTCCTTTTCTTTCCTTTTCTTTCCTTTCCTTTCCTTTTCTTTCCTTTTCTTTCCTTTCCTTTCCTTTTCTTTCCTTTTCTTTCCTTTCCTTTCCTTTTCTTTCCTTTTCTTTCCTTTCCTTTCCTTTCCTTTCCTTTCCTTTCCTTTCCTTTCCTTTCCTTTCCTTTCCTTTTCCTTTCCTTTTCCTTTCCTCTCCTTTCCTTTCCTTTCCTTTCCTTTCCTTTCCTTTCCTTTCCTTTCCTTTCCTTTCCTTTTCTTTCCTTTTCTTTTCTTTCCTTTCCTTTTCCCTTTCCTTTTCCCTTTCCTTTCCTTTTTCCTTTTCCTTTTCCTTTTCCTTTTCCTTTTTCCTTTCCTTTCCTTTCCTTCATGAATTTTTTCAATAAAGGAGGATATAAATAATCTGTGTAGCAAGCAGGACAGCCAACAGAGACAGAGCTGCTGGCTAAGCCATTTTTTTTATTTAGCCCCGGAAGCGCCTCTTGTAATTAACTTCTTTTTTGCCTTGACTTTAGCAGCAGGTTAACAGTGGTATCAATAGCTGTTGTCCCAGCCGCTCCTCGGAACTGCAGCATTTCAAGATATGTGTAGATGAGGGACATGGTTTAGTAGCATGGATTTATGGTTGGGCTTGATGATCTTGAAGGTCTTTTCCAACCCTAATGATTCTATGACTGGAGAGATCTCCTGGTATGTGCCTCTGGCCATTCCTGGTGGGTTGACTAATGAGGACATTTCAGCCTCATCTCCTCAATCTGTAAGTAGTCGAAGTCTGGATACAGCCACCCCAGTAATACCAGCAATTCACTGGAGAAATACCTCTGTAGGCAGTGGGATCTCGTTGACTCTAGTAGGTCTCATTGCAGAACTGCTGTCCATGATCTTCTACAGAAGGTTGCCACAACACATGCCTGAGAAATCTTCATTTTCTGTGTTTTTTACCTCTTGAGCACCCAGAGACATTTGTGTGTTGTTTTATTCTAATTTAAGCTAAAAGGAGGCAAAAGAGAAATCAGAGATGCTATCAAGTGGCTTGTTTGTCTTCCTGCTCTAGTGCCTACATGAGAGCAAGCAAAGGTAGTAAATGGATCTGTTGTGATATATGAGTTTGGGATTATATTTAGTCTCTCACATTATGGACAGGAATTCAAGTGCACTGAGAACTGTGGGTTTAAATTGACCCTGGCTTAGTCCTGCACTGAACACAGGTTTTGTCAAGTGCTCTGAGGGGCAAAAACCTTTTCCAGGCGCTTTTCAGAGTCCTCTCCAGGATAAAGACCCTGGGATGTAGGATGGCACCTTATTTAGTTTCTCACCATAAAACCTGCTTGTTGAACTGAAGCCTGCAGCCCTGTCACTGCTTCAGCAGAAAATTCACTCCTGTTCAAAGCATGTCCTTGAACAAGGATGAAAAGATTTAGACCCTACTCGGAGGCAACCTGGGAGCATAGGGTTCACCGTGCCTGTCACTCTGAAGGTGGCTGTCAGCACTGCAGAGAGAAGGGAGATTTCGCTGAGAGATCAGGAGTAAACAAACAGTTAAAAAACTCATAAAAAGACAGGCTGGTTACACCTAGTCCAGCAGAAGTCCCTTGCCAGAGAGCGAGGCAGGTGGAATGACTTAGGACCCCAATAATGGAATAGAGAGATTTGGACTGAGCTTTAGAGCTAGCCAGGGGCTTGTGATTTGGTCCTTCCAGCACAGTGAATGGCACTGCTCTTGGCTCATGGAGCAGAGGGGCCCCATTCAGCCTGGATTACTGTCCCGGTCCTGGAAGAGCTCTTTCCAGCTCTCCTGGCAGACACCAGCAGCAGAAGAAGCTGCAGCTGCTGGGCTGGATATGCTCAGCATATGGGAATAGCACATGGGAATAGGTGGAAGGCAGAGATGTTATTCCTTCCCGGGAAATATATATATATATGTTTATATATATATATATATATATGTGTCTGTCTATATATATCACACAATGCCTGCTTCTTGTTCTGTATTTATAGCAACAAGCGCCTATAAGATAACAAAATACTCTGTTGGTTACATCTGTGCATCTGTATTTTAGAGTTTTGATACCTTTTAATTTATTTCCCAGCTTGCTTGTTGCAACAGGTTTTTAGCTGTTTTCTTCTTTCTCCCATTACCCATTTGCATTTTATTTCAAACTCTGCTGCATATTTGAGCATTTTCTTCATATCCATGCTGTTTCTTTCCTTGAGTCATGCCTGCCTTTTGTCATCTTTGCACTTGCCTCCTCTTGCATCATCTTTGTGATTACATCACCTAGCACTTACTCCTTGTTTCTCAGCTGGCCATGAATGGCCTCGGTTTGGTCCCACATTTTTCGGCCATGTCTTTGCTTCTTTGGACCTCAGCCCTCTTCTGAGCCCTCCAGGGTGACAGGGCACACAGCATATCACTTCTCCACTGGCTTTGCCACATCCTCTCTCTGTTTCTTTGCTGTTTCATTCTCAGGTGCTACCACACATCTCAAAAATACGTGGTTTTGTTCTTTTATTTTACTTTTTTTTTTGTCTAGGCACAGTGCTTGGGTGCTGTCATCCTGTTTTATAAGACAGCTTGCACATGAGGCTAAACACAGGTTGTACTCTCCGTTCCTGGTTGTAATGCTGTGCTCTACAATCCCTGAATCAAAATGTTTCTCTGCTCCTACCTTTGAAGTAGATGCCTTTGATCTCTGGAAATGCAGGAGCAGGGGAGGCAACAGGAGTGTAAATTACCCAGCACAGATAACCCCAGGACAATGAAGCTAAAACTCCAGCACTCACGGAGAAGTTCCTGCTCTCTGTAACATCTACAGTGGTCAAGGCCTCTGTATTTCACCTTACCTGAAAGACGTCACCTCTAGCACATGCAGTATGTTCAGCAAACTTAGGGAAAAGTCTTGCTTTTCAACTATGTTGCCACAACATCCACCTTCTTTTCAGAAAGTATTATTTTTGACATCTGTGAAAGGAAAAGATTGACATATCCAGGTGTAAGAAGCAGAATGTTTTGCAATTATTTCATTCAGCTGATTTCACACAATCACAGAATCAGAGAATGGTTGAGGTTGGCAGGGACCTCTAGAGATCATCTAGTCCAACCCCCCTGCTCAACCAGGGACACCCAGAGCACGGGGCACAGGGTGGCGTCCAGGAGGATTTTGAAGATTTGCCATTATACCTTCATCTAGGTCTATATCATATTTGCTGCCAGTAGTTGTAAACCCAGGTTTGGGATATATACCTTAACCACAGTAATATTTTCAAAAGTACCCGCTATTCTGCTGCCTCCTTCCTCAATGAAGTCAACAGAAGCAGAGTTAGGCCCACACTTTGCTTTGAAAATCCTATCCAGAGGCAATGAATGCATGCATGCTGTCCAGAGTGATCTGAAGAGGTGTTTGGTGAAATAATGCTTGTAACTTAAAGCATTTATAGCGTCTTAATTCTTCATCTCTCTTCTCTAGGTTCACAATAGAAACCTACTGTCCCTTGATTTTGATCGTGTGACCAGAACAGAGAAAATCTACGATGACCACCGCAAGTTCACACTTCGCATCCTCTATGACCAGGCAGGGAGGCCCAGCCTTTGGTCACCCAGTAGCAGACTGAATGGTGTCAACGTGACCTATTCCCCAGGAGGACACATTGCTGGGATTCAAAGGGGCACAATGTCGGAAAGGATGGAGTATGATCAGTCTGGCAGAATTGTATCCAGGATCTTTGCTGATGGGAAATCATGGAGCTACACTTACTTGGAAAAGGCAAGCACCCTCTTTTTGGGGTGATTACAGCTCTGCAATCTTAGCTTACCAGGCAGTACATATGTCCTTTCTTCCTAAGACTTCAGTGCAGCTTCATGTTGCTTCATGTTACTTCATATCAGCTGATTACTGGCCCTTGTGATCCATACTGTTCCTCTGTCTATTCTGCATACACTAACATATACACAGTAACTTTGCTGTCAAAACACCAGAGAACAGTTGCAAATTCCCTACAGGGCAATATTCTTTACAAGTCACAGTAAATGCATGTCTTAATGCTTTGAAGATTTGGGTGTGTGATTTTTTAAATACAAGTTCAGAGACATGAATACAGCCAGGCAGCTGTAGAACATTTTGCAGTGTTTTCTATAGTTTGCACATTGCAAACTACAGGCATAGGATTTAGTTTCTTCTGAGTATCACTGCTGTATTATCCAGCATCCTATAGACACATGTGTTACATACATGGTCTTGACTTTTTTATTTCTGAATATTGTATAGGGCGTATCACTAAAACAGTTTAAGGAAGTTAAAGTAGCATAGCTTTTAAAGGACAAAAAGCATTGGCTTGCACTTTGTGTTAAATAATCTGTGTGGATGCTTGTGCAGGAAAAAAAGAAGGGACAAATGAGTTAAGCATGTTGGCAAAAGTTTGTAATAGGAGAGTAATAGCAGATATACAGACACACAGAGTTAATTGAGTATTGGAAAGTGTCCTGGGGGACACTTTTTCAAACCTAGTTTGAGTTATTCTACCAATTTTATTTATTTAATCCATAGAAGCTATTGGCAAGGGAAATTTGGGCAGAGGTGACTACATGGAATTAATTCTAACAACTGAGTGTTCTAAACTTAAACCCTACTTATGGCATTAAGTGCCTTTTCCTCTGACTTGCCTCTGCTTAGGGATACTTGATGTGCTGTGCAACTGCATACTTCTCACTATTTAATCTTATGGCTGTGAAGACTGTCTGTCTCGTTTGCCCTGCTCTTTGGATTGGTGAAGTGCTGAACCAGTGCAAACAAACTAAGAATTCAGGTCACAAAGAGCTGACACTGAAAAGATACAAAGGAGAAGGCGAAGCAGTGGTTGAAGAGATGAACAAATATGTCAGGTGGACAGGTTGTGACTGACCACATTTTTGTTGCTCAGTGACCTCTGTTTCGCAGGTCCCCTGTTTCTGTCAGTTGGTAGCTGCAAACTGCTCTCACGAATACTGTCGTCTTTGTGAGAGTTGAGAATAATCCTACCTGAAAGCGAGGAAAATGATCTGTTCTTTTCTTCCTCCCCTCCAGTCCATGGTGCTGCTCCTTCACAGCCAGCGACAGTACATCTTCGAGTTTGATAAGAATGACCGTTTGTCATCGGTGACCATGCCCAACGTTGCCCGGCAGACTTTGGAAACCATTCGTTCCATTGGCTACTACAGGAACATCTACCGGCCTCCAGAAGGCAACGCCTCCGTAATTCAGGATTTCACAGAGGATGAGCAACTCCTCCACACTTTGTACTTGGGGACAGGGAGACGTGTCATCTACAAGTATGGAAAGTTGTCCAAGTTGGCTGAGATGCTCTATGACACCACGAAGATCAGTTTCACCTATGACGAGACTGCTGGCATGCTAAAAACAATAAACCTGCAGAATGAAGGGTTCACGTGTACAATCAGATACAGGCAGATAGGACCCCTTATTGACAGGCAGATTTTCCGTTTCACTGAGGAGGGCATGGTAAATGCACGGTTTGATTATAATTACGATAACAGCTTTCGGGTGACGAGCATGCAAGCCGTGATCAACGAGACACCTTTACCCATTGACCTCTACAGGTACGATGATGTGTCAGGCAAAACTGAGCAATTCGGTAAATTTGGTGTCATTTACTATGATATCAACCAGATTATTACCACAGCTGTCATGACTCACACTAAACATTTTGATGCCTATGGCAGGATGAAGGAGGTCCAGTATGAGATATTCCGGTCACTCATGTACTGGATGACTGTGCAGTATGATAACATGGGGAGAGTTGTTAAGAAAGAGTTGAAGGTTGGCCCTTATGCAAACACAACTAGATATTCGTATGAGTATGATGCTGATGGCCAGTTACAGACAGTGTCTATTAATGACAAGCCACTCTGGCGTTACAGCTATGACCTAAATGGAAATCTCCATTTGTTAAGTCCGGGGAATAGTGCTCGCCTTACACCGCTCCGGTATGACCTCAGAGACAGGATTACAAGACTGGGAGATGTGCAGTACAAAATGGATGAAGATGGCTTCCTAAAGCAACGGGGCAATGATATTTTTGAGTACAACTCAGCTGGCCTGCTCATCAAAGCTTACAACAAAGCTAGTGGATGGAGTGTGAAATATCGCTACGATGGCCTAGGAAGGCGAGTCTCCAGCAAAACCAGCCATGGCCATCACCTGCAGTTCTTCTACGCAGACCTGACCAACCCAACCAAGGTCACCCATTTATACAATCATTCAAGCTCCGAGATCACCTCCCTCTACTATGACCTCCAAGGCCATCTCTTTGCAATGGAGCTCAGCAGCGGGGATGAATTCTACATAGCCTGCGATAACATTGGAACCCCTTTGGCCGTCTTCAGTGGGACTGGCTTAATGATTAAGCAGATCCTCTACACAGCTTATGGGGAGATCTATATGGACACCAATCCCAACTTTCAGATCATCATTGGCTACCATGGAGGACTGTATGACCCCCTCACGAAGCTGATCCACATGGGACGGAGAGACTATGACGTTTTAGCAGGTCGATGGACAAGTCCAGACCACGATATGTGGAAGCATCTGAGTAGCAATAACATTATGCCCTTCAACCTGTATATGTTCAAAAACAACAATCCTATTAGCAACTCTCAGGATATCAAGTGTTACATGACAGGTAAGACTTAAAATTAATTACAATATCGGCAGACTATTTTCTAGCCCACCATCAGTGAAGAGGTTTTGTTCTTTCAGTATCCACATTGCCATGAGGTTTTCCAGTATTTAACAAATGGGCACAAGCTCTTCTCTCCCAGTTGACCTCAGAGTCAGTGAATGATCCAACACATGCTTAATTCATTAGCATAGGCATACATGGAGACTACAATTCCCCAAAGTGTTTCTTTTTCTCTTTCTTGGTGCTTATTCTTTTTATTCTGCTTCCAGTTGCTCTTTTTTTTTTTACATATATATTCGAAGCTTAGTTAGGAATTAACATCCTTATAATGTTTCACTTTTGTAGGGGTGTAGCTCTTGTTTGCACAGTTTTGGCTAGAGATTTCTTTGCAACTAAATAAATGACCTGCAGGTCTCCTTTAGCAGAATGGCAACAGTGACTTAAACTTTTTATAACAGTCAGCCATTTCAGAGCACGCTACAGTAATAATGTACTTCAAAGTTAATCTGCTCTGCAGAATTAATGGTTTCCATTAAAGTCAGTAAGAGCAGGTGCTTTCAACCTAAAAGACAGGTTTTAGGGCATAACTAGCCCACAGCTTGACATAAACTCCAAAATACTACCCCTGGGACTTCTTCTTATGGCATTAACATAATGTCTCTGTATGTTTTGTGTACAGAAAAATCACTTTGTATGCCACCTGTTCCTCCTATATTCATATTTTGCACAACACTGATTGCGATGTTATAGACAACTGTTTTACTGGGGCTCTTTTCCAAATACTTCCCTTTGGAAAACCGGGTGACACAATCACAAACCAAATGTGCATTCTTCTTAAAAAGATAATCATATAATTAATTTTTAACTGATCCCATTTCATCCATCACAACTTTTCCATATTCAACAACAGTTTTTGCATTCCCCTGGCTTATGATATTGGCCCGATAGCAAGAAATTTTGCAAAATAAAAACCCTGGGTTATTTTATTCAACTTGATTTTTATAGCCTTTAGGATTTATGCTTTCAGGTTCTTCAGCAATAATCATAAGGATCAGATTGTATTTTTTTAATGAAAAGCTGTTGTTCTCCAGGGCTCAGGAGATGATGCCAGAAAGAAAGCAAAATAAGCCAAAAGATGCAGACTAAGATCCTGTGGGTTGGCCAGCGGGGAATTCTTTTACAAATACTCATTTGTCAAAACTGAATTTCTTCGTGGGAGAGGATTGAGCTTGAGAAATTTCACAGTAGGAAGCTTGTAAACAGCTCTTGAAAGTGTCCAAATAACTAATTCCAAAATATATTGAAAGAAATTTGGGGTTTGATTTTCAAGCTTTTCAGTTTTAATGGAGATTAACTATAGAAAACAGAAAAAGTAAAATTAAGAGATCAAAATCAAAATGAAATATCTTCACCTGAACTTGCTAGTTTGAACTGAACTGATTTTTGAACAGTCATTTCATGATATATTAACAGATTTTTTTTTCTGCCCAGATCAAGACAGGGTAAAATTTCAAAAGTTGTCTTGGAACAGACAAACCATTTCCCACTCACTCTGATGTTAACATCAAGATGTCCAAATCTGACATTTTAGTATTTTATATGCACTGAACAACTTTCACCGTGGTCTTAAAGATTCCATTCTCAATCACTGCAGAATACAGATCCTAAATTTGCTTTTTAAGTTTATCTTCTCCTATATGAGACCATACACATGGGAGAAATGGCTTGCACTGGGAGGAAAGGGTTAGTGTTTCAGGCTGCTTTGCAAATTTTTCCCTACAAAAAGCTATATAATCGTTATTCTGCCAAATGTATAATCATTTTTAACCATATATAACCATGTACCAATGTATAACTACTTTTCTACCAAAAAACCAGCTGTGTAACCTATTCTCAGCTGCAGTGAGAGGCCTGTCCATCCTGGACTATACCGGGATATGCTGAACCCAGCATGGCAGCTGGTTTGGGAGACACATTTAGCCTTGAGTACTCTCCGTTACACATGGGCACATCTCTAGCAATGGGGAAATGTCTTATCTTGAGAAGGCAATAGCTGTTCTAGCCTAAAAACTTGCATTCCACACGTCCCCCCTCCTTCCCCATGGCGGGACCTGCTGTCCTCCCAGCTCCGAGGGGGCAGGCGAAGGGCCAAGCTCCAAGTAGGAGATTTCTGAGCGTGTAGGTACAAATTGGGAACACGCAGAGGGGAGAGCAGGGAAAGCAGGTATTTACGTTTTGAGGGGCCCGTTGTTAAACATGAATATTTTAGCAATTGTACACTTCATGGCGCAGAGCTTTGCTGCCAGCTTCAGCAATCCTGATGGATTGAACTGACATTTCCATTACATGTGTCTGCATTAAGCACTCTTTTTCTTTGCCCTCAAATGATTTTACTGTGAAAAGTGTTGGCAGGGTTACTGTAGCTGAAAAAAAAATGGTGATGTGAAATGTACTTTTCTGTCAAAAAAGTTGTCACTGCCTCTTGGCAAATTAATATTTTTCCCTCTGTTCTCTTAACTCCATACCTTCCTTTCCCATGTTCTTTCTTTTTTTTTCCTTTTTATTCAGCATATTCCAA